TGTCCGTTAGTCTCGCTAAAACTCGAAACTGGTTAGACTTAGACCGATTCTGATGAAATTATTTGTGTTTTTGAGTGGGTCCATGGATGGTTTAGATACACGATTGGACCCGGTAGGAACAGCTGTTGCCGAAATCCAAAAATCACCCGTGCGAAGCCGGAACGGATCGCTAATAGTAACTATATAAATTAATAGACCATCAAATAGAATAGAAGGTACTCTTTTGTGTGAAATCCTAACCTGATATAGTTTTTTTAAAAACTAGATTGTTCCAGAAAAACGAAACAAAATAAAAACAATAACAATTTTATCACGAGTTCAAAACAGCGGTGAGAACTACGAACGACGGTTTCATCACGCATTCTTGTTAAACTGCATGTCGAATGACCAACATAATAATAGCGTTGTTGTCGGTGTGGACAACCTGTTTACATTTAGAAACGCGTAGCTGAGGTTCCGTAAACAATAATATAACATTAAAAGATCCGCTTTTTTTCTTTCGTTACATTTTGTTATTTATCGGGAAGCGGAAGTCGATTTTAGTAACATCATTATTGAAGGGTCCATTTGATTGTATTTGTATGCCGCCCTTGAACACCTGAGAGACACAACTATACCAGCCGACCCATTCGTGGTACAACTATACTACTAATATAGATCTATGCTGCAGCTATATTAGTAGTATGGTTGTAGCACGAATGGGTCGGCTCGACCGGGGAGGACCACGCTCTCACAGAATACCAGCGTAAAATAGCAGCTTAACGCTGCTGTGTTTCGTATGGTGAGTGTAGAGAACCGGATACTATTTTTACTGGGAACGAGGCATTCCATCTTAGTCCTCACGGGTGACAACGCATATGTATTTTGATACTTTATCGAAGATAGATGTAGATGTCTATGGGCCTCAGCAAGCACTTACCATCAGGTGGACTGTGTGCTCGTTTGTCAAACTATCCTATAAAAATAAATAAAAAAACTACCTTCAACATTCTTTGTTTGAAGTTTATGATGGGCTGCAGATGCACTATCACCTGTTAGGACTAAGATGAAATACCTTACAGCCTGTACTGGCTTCTCTATAAATTCTCTCTCTCTCTCTCTAAATTCTCCTAAATAGTTAATTGCATGGTACCAAACCTGTCAGTCTTAGGCAATACACAAGGCTCGGGGGTCCCTTTCTCTTAGAATGTTTACCTATTTACGAATTTTTCTCAAGCCGAGGGGCATTTTACTTTCGCAAGGCTCTTTATCACTTGCATACTTAGCGTTGAAGTCCATCCGTATATGCCTAATAGGCTTTCTTCTTAGACATTTATGTTTTCTTGATCTATTTCCAATTACGAGGAAAATTTTGGAATATCATCTGAAAATAATCAACTTCACCATATCGTGCCGTGGAGGTGGTTGTGAAGTAAGATTATCAATCACAGCCTTTTGTGCCTCGGGTGTCATAAAATGCGATATTCCAGGAGGATCTTATGTGTCTTCCGATAGATGGCGGTATAACCGTAGTTTACGCCAAGAAATAGAAGTAGATTTTATTTATTCAATGTACATTATCAATAATAATTCACTCTTATGTTCAAATTACCAGGTGTTCGGAAAATACCTCTGTCCTGGGAAGATCTAGCAAGAATCTGAACGGGACTTTTTTTTGAAAAAAAAACGTTCCTTTCGTAGTATATTATTATTGATAAACGTATTATATTATTAATTAACAAATACAATAATATTTCTTTCATGGCAAGATAAGAAAAAGTGCAAGGGAGATGGACTTTATTCCATCTTGCTTCCTTATAGCCGCCAAGGCTGTACTCTAAGTCAGAAGCGAAGAAAAATCTTACATTTTTCGTCACCCAGCCCCCATCCGCAAATTCCGTACCGTCCGATAAAGAATTTAGTTCCAAAAATAATTTACAATCGTATATGTTACATAATTAACAACACAAAACAAATTAGAATTAGCCTGGTAACGATCACCTCATTCCCAAAGGTTATTATCATCCATAAAACAAAATACATGGAGCCGCGACGGAGAGCATTATCAAAGGTACTGCGATTCGTCCGCCTGCCAAACGTGACGAATACGCAAATATTTACAACAACTGTAGAGGTTTATGTCCAGCGGTAGAATTTTACAGGTTCATGATGATGAATCCATTGGAGAAAATATAGTGAAGTCAGGGTACGGGGTACGGGCCCCCCAGTCGTTCATAACACCTGTACATCCAAACGGCTGTGGGTAGGCTTGGATAAATAGAATAGAAGAGAATGAATTGAATTTTTATTCAATATTTTTTTATTTACCACTTATACGATTATTACATAATACTTATTGAAAATAATTTTTAAATTACCACTGGTTCGGAAAATATCTCTGTCCTGGGAAGAACCAGCAAGAAACCCAACGGGACTTTTAAAAAAAAAACATATTTCACTTATTAATAATTTATTACGTGATTAAGTTATAAATCTGTTTAAAATTTTTTTTTCATTGAACATTGAACATTCCAGTAAAAAGGGTCACCGGTTCTCTACACTCACCATACGAAACACAGCAGCGTTAAGCTGCTATTTTACGCTGGTTTACTGTGAGAGCGTGGTCCTTCCCCGGTCGAGCCGACCCATTCGTGCTACAACCATAATATAGCTGCAGCATGGCTCTACCACGTATAAAGTGATTTGTTTCCCTCTGTCGCCTCTTACGACATCCACGCGATGATATGGGGTAGTGGATATTCTTACATCGCCACTACACGATCTACGCGTTACTCCATATTAGTTCTAGTTATTCGAGGAACTCTAAAACTGCCGAGCCAAGTAATTGTTGGAAGTAATTATTCACTCACTCGAACTAATTACTTAAAGGTTGTTATGTTTTAGTAATATTTAAAAATAGCAATCGATTATAGTTACAATTAATAAGGCTTATTAAATCAGAACAAGAAACGACTGGTACCATGTTGACCTTAATAATTACGATGTCTTTTTATAACTAACTGGCAGGGTTCTTTTACGACTGTCATTTCATCTGGACTGACCAACATTCTTTCTAGATTGAAGCTATATATTTATTTATTCTTTATAGTAATCACCTTAAGACTGCCATTCAAACCTGACGATGGTAATTATAATGTACTAGCTGATATCCTATCACAGCACGATTAATATTTAAAACTACCGACCCGCCCTGGATTCGCTCGGCTAGGATCTATTAATGTGAAGTTTTTTAGGTTTAAAATATTGAATATTCATCAAAGACCATTTATTTTTCGAATTCTTAAAAAAATCCTAGTTTGTCGGATAGGATGCTCTCCATCTATTCTTTAACTTTTATCTCAATGGGTTCACCATTCTGAATAAATTAGCCCGACATACAGAAACACATGGTTACAGCATGCAAATAGCGTCATTAGACTTATAAAAGGGCAGTTATTTCGTTAGGAATAGACACATCAATTTTATTTATGTGTTTAGATAACAGCTCGTCATAAATCGTAACGAGAAATGTTTCGTTATAGATCGAGATTTAAGTAGCACAATGGAAAAGATAAATTTGATTATAGTAATATTTCAACACATCGCAATAGTTTATTAAAACATCGAGCGAAAGTCCTTTGATACTCGTAGAACGGCACAAATGCTAAATCTAACCCAGATGCACATAATTCGTGTTTTCCGTAAACAGCCTAAATGGTTTGTAATAGATAATAGATAGATATGCAAATACCTACACATTGCATTAAATTAAACACACATTTTACGTGGTAGAGCCGCGTTGCATCTATATTGTGGTTGTAGCATGAATCGTTCGGCTCCACCGGGGAAGGACCATGCTCTCAGAGATTGCTTTTTTTTTTAAAGAATAAGGGTAACAAACGAGCACATAGTCCATCTGATGATAAGTAGATGCTGTGGTCCATAAATATCTACATTTATACTCAATTAAGAATCAAAATGCAGATGCATCATCATTTCAAGTAAAAGGGTCCTACCCGGGGCGAGCCGACCCATTCGTGCTACAACCATAATATAGCTGCAGCGTATCTCTACGTTATTAGCGTAAAATAGCAAATTAATGTTGCTGTGTTTCATATGGAACGAGTAATTAGTTTTAACTTTTAACAGTACACTGGTGTTCGTCCAGTGTTTAAAATTCGGTCGTAATGCATAAATTTTTTATAAGTTTGTATATTAAGCAAGCTTTTTTTGTCTTTCAATTGCACATTAATATATACAACATAATTAATTTATAAACAAAGTATACAATAAACGCTTTTTTGATTTGTCATACACTCCACAATCTATTGTAAATGGAACATTTGAAATCATACAAAATTCATGGCTTATTCAGTCAATCTGTTTAATTATTTCTTGGCAACATTTTAAAATTCTTTGGCGAAAATCTCTACACTGTTCGACTGTTTGGCCTATGTATGTTATTACTCTAATGTTTGGCTATAGACTATAACGTGTTTGACATTAGCAGTATGAACGTAAACAATAAATGTTATATTATATGTAAAAGCTAAGGATATATTATTATATATCTTAATATTTGTAAGATATATAATAATATATTTTTTAGCTTTCTGCACTATTCTCCATATAAGCTTTAACTATGTGAAATCTCACACACGTCCGTGCGCTCAATACGCTTAAAAAGGGGTACAAAGTTTTCTTTTCTTATATGGAATAAGCCATTTATTTCAAAAGATGATATTAAAGTGTTTTAAAGTCTATCAATTGGTATATAATTAACATATTTTGTCGCTATAGAACGTCGCTAGTAAAACTGCGTATAATTAATTTAGTGAATCTTTTAATAACGTTAATTATTTAATAGATTATAATTATTTAATAAATAATGAAAGTTGTAAAAAAAAAGTTATTGGTTTTCTATAAAAAAAAATTAAGCAGATAACATATAATATTAGAGCGTTAATATAACAAACTTGTGATTGTCTATTAATAGTAACACAAAGATTTTTTGTCCACAGATATTTCGTGAGCACTGTCCTGCAGTTCCAGATTCACAGAGCTCTGTGTACACGGACTGGACAGTTCATTCCCGGGGATCCGTCACGTCCACTTCACAAATGTGATATCTACAGGAACCCTGAGGCTGGAAGGGTACTGAAGTAAGTACTCATATTTAGTAATTCGTTAGACGGTGCAACTGTATTACTCTCACGTAAGTCTAGTGATCGTAAGCGATCATGTGGTTCAAGGTTCGAATCCTATGTCGGGTCAACTTCAATTATTAGGTCATTCTGTGGTTAGGAAGTTTTTTCACTCTTTGTTCAATCTCTATTCACTCAATAGATCTTTGCGCACATACTCGTGCACTATAATCCTGTTCTGCAGAAATAGTAGAGCCATGCTGCAACTATATATCAGTAGTATAGTTGTAGCACGAATGGGTCGGCTCGACCGGGGTAGGACCACGCTCTCACAGAATACCAGCGTAAAATAGCAACTTAACACTGCTGTATTTCGTATGATGAGTGAACGAAGTGAAACGAGGCATTCCATCTTATTCCTTACGGGTGACAACGCATCTGCATTTTGATTCGCAAACGAGCATAGATGTAGATGTCTATAGGCCGCAGCAACCACTTAACATCAGGTGGACTGTGTGCTCGTTTGTCACCCTATCCTATATAAAAAAATGGCTAGTCTTAGTTGAGATTCGCTGCCATGATCGAAATTCCTTTTGTAGAACTTAATTATTACATTATTATGGCGAGTAGATCTGTGTGAACCACGTTCTCACAGAAGACCAACTATAAAATAGGAACAAGACGCTTCTGTGTTTTATATAATGAGTGACGAGAACCGGAGACAACATTTACTTGTAATAACTAATAAGGTATCCCATCATAGTCCTCAGATTTAGATTTAGTTGCCAAATTCGCATCAATTCTTAATCAGGGATAGATGTTAGATGGTAGATGTATATTTTATAGGCAGTATGCTCGCTTATCACACCGATACCTAGTAAGAAACTTTAAATGTTAACAAATTAACAATTTCTGACTATCGCTAATTATTGAAATGAATAATTAAACGACTATTCTTTTGATTACTACATCTAGTTGCTTCTCTTTGATTTCGGAAACTACTGATAATAATATAATCAAGCTAGAAATTTAACAATATCTATAGTACTCGTATAAAACAAAATCGCTTACCGCCGTCTGTACATTTAGATCTTTTAAACTACGCCACGGATTTTAATGCGGTTTTCATAGAATAGAATACAATATTTTTTTAATTTTTATTCAATATAGATCACATGTGTAATTCTTATTGAAAGTCATTTTTACTTTACCACTGGTTCGAAAAAAAACCTCTGTCCTGGGAAGAACCAGCAAGAAACCCAGCGGGACTTTGTTTTAAAGCAAATTTTACATTAATGGTTGTACAAACTATATAAGTACAAAATTTATTATAGAAACAGCTTGGAAGCGATCACCTCATTCCCAGGGGTTATTATCAACCATGTATTCATTTATACTATAATAACCCTTTTTATACAGTTTCAACTTAACAAAACATTTAAACTTGCTAATAGAGAGCGCCTGTACACTTTCCGGGACCTTGTTGTAATAGCGCAGACATTGCCCCAAGAATGAATTACTGACTCTGTGGAGTCGAGAAACTGGTATCACTAGCTTGTGTTTGTTCCTAGTGTTTACAGAATGTATATCACTTTTTTACTAAAACTATCTTTTTTTTTGTGAAAATACATTAAATTTTCGTAAATATACTGAGAGGCCAAAGTTAATATATTTATTTCTTTAAATTTATCTCTAAGAGACTCTCTCGGTTTTAGGTTGTAAATAGCTCTAATGGCCCTCTTCTGTAAAACAAAAATAGTTTCTGAATCAGCCGCATTTCCCCATAGCAAAATCCCAAAAGACATTATGCTATGGAAATAACTGAAATAAACTAATCTAGCTGTCTCGACACTAGTGAAACCTGTAATCTTTTTTACAGCATAGGCTGCAAAAAACTTAGTCTACTTGCTAGTTTGGATATAATTATGAGGGCTCCACTGAAGCTTTGCGTCGAGAGTGATGCCAAGAAAAACAGTGGATTCAACAGGGCTTAGTTCATCCCCATTTAAAAACACATTGGTACTCGGATTTTTAACATTCGTTGTTGTAAATTTAATACATTTAGTTTTAGTTTAAGTTTTATCAATCAATATACAGAATGACAGAAATGACAGAAAAGTTTATATGTACAATATTATATATTACATAATTCTTCTGTCCGTATGTCTATATGACTGAACTCCTAAACGGCTGGACCGATTTTGATGAAATTTTGTGTGTGTTATTAATTTGATCAGAGAATGGTTTAGATTCACATTTGGACCCGGTAGGTGGCGTTGTTGTCGAGATACAGAAATGAACCGTGCGAAGCCGGAGCAGATCACTAGTTACTTAAATGACACAAGCCGCTTTTACGCCACATCGTATACTTTTTCTTATTTTTTTTTAAAATATATTTCTTACTTTGGTAATGAGAAATTTGATAAAGAATGTATGCGTAAAATATTCAGTACAACAAATGCACGCCGCAGTTAGTCTAAATAATCGCATCTCTCCGCTAACGTTGCGTGAGTGACAAAATAAAGAGAGATGCGCACTACCGCCGCCGTCTGTGGAGGAAATGATCAATTGACTTAAGAGCATCATGCGGGCCGTTAAAATGCTCGTTAACTGCATTACCGGACCGATATAAGTAAGCCCTCAGTTCGCCTGGACTCACACCCCTATAATTTCCATTAGAGTTGGACGCTCAAAGCATTACGTTCCCTTTGTTGCTTCGGGATTCATTCGTTACGAAGAATCGTTTAAATTAATATGAACTAATTTAATCGGTGTAAGAATATGCAATAACCCATATCATCCCTACACAATGCGAACCGTGGTAGCTCATGGGCTTAGCGCTCGCTGTAAATTTCACATTACGCGAGCAACCCGGGTTCGATCCCCGCCGGCACCAATGAAATTAATTGCAAATTTAAGAACTGTTTAAAAAGCTAAATACGTTGCTTTGTACCAAATTATAAGAAGCTGAGTTCACGGGAAGTACCCTGTAGGTTTTGATTCCCTTGCGAACGTCGAAAATTTGAGGCATAAACGGCTGTATCTTTTGATTGGGTTGGCTTAGAAGTTTTATTTTTTCACAGCTCCAAGGGACAGTAGACTTGAGTATTTGATGAGATGATGAGTATGAATTTCAGCTTGATACCTCTACGCGTTCCTGAGAAAAAAGGTCTTGACAGACAGATAGACGGACAACAAAGTGATCCTATAAGGGTTCCGTTTTTTCCTTTTGAGGTACGGAACCCTAAAACTATAAAAAGACATGTGAAGTCCGCAAAAACACATTGGGGCTGTGCAACGTATACTTCCTTGCCCTAAAACCTCTCAGAAATAAGGGGGAGGCGGAGCTGTGCCCAGCTGTGGGACATATATAGGCTGTTACTTTAAACTTTTATCCCGACACAGTGGGTTGACGAAGCGACAGGAGGAAAGTGTTTAATAGGATTGACAAACGAGCACATAGCCCACCTGATGGTAAGGGATGCTGTCGCTTATAGACACCTACATCTACCCTCGATTAAGAATCAAAATACTGGTATGTTGTCACGCCTCAGAGTAAGATGGAACGCCTTGTTTCCAGTTTAAAGGGTCCCCAGTTCTCTACTCAGCATATGAGACAGCAGAATTAAGCTGCTATTTTGAATTGGTATTCAAACATGGCCGAAACAGGAGTTGGACAGCAGTATGTTTCTGTAAACAACCAAAAATAATAAAAAATATAAAATCCTCCCATATTAGGAAATCAGCAGTGAACATTAGATTTTGAAATAAATAATACTGATTAAATTATTAAAGATTAACTGTATATTGATTAATTTTTATTACCAAATCAAAATTAATCAGTGACAGATTTTAAAATGCTAACGCTTGCGTAATACCTGGAATTGGGTACAAAAAGAATAACAAAATTCGTACATACATACATAATATACATAATGATCGAGCTAATAATAATTTTTTACGTGGCAGAATCAGCAGAAAAGAATAGGGTTACAGGACGAATAGGTCGGCTCGACCGGAGTAGGATCACGATCTCACAGAATACGAGCGTAAAATAGCAACTTAATGCTGCTGTGTTTCGTATGGTGACTGTAGAGAACCGGAAACATTCATTTGTTAATGTATACGAGGCATTCCATCTTTGTCCTCAGGGATGACAACACATCTGCATTTTGATTCATAATCGATGATAGACGTAGATATCTATGAGTCTATGAGCATCCCACTTACAATTAGGTGGGCTGTGTGCTCGCTTGGAACCCATATTCTATAAAAAAAATTACTTCTTCCATTTTAAAGAGGATTTGGCCGCAGAAGGAAAAGGGGAGATCTCCCGCCGGGCAAGGTGTTCTACCCGGGGAGCGGCCAACACTCCGAGTGGTATTTTTTTTGCGCCCAATGCAAGGCATGTCCGGAAGCGGGGGAGGGAGGTGGTGAATGCTCATAGCATACCACGGGAGCCGGCTGCGTGGTTATATAGGACTCACTTTGAAGAAATGCCTGCCCTCTAAACATCACCTGTGAGACTGGCATTGGCCTGTATGGCCTTTCTGCCGAATCCGATGCGACTCCCCGGAAAAGGAGGCGCAGTCGAGTGGTAATTCGGAGCTATTCTAGTTATACTGCTTTTACTTCGGAACTTTGATAGCGTGATTTAGGCTTCAATGTATTTTCGCTTGTGGCGCGACGACGGCGCCGCCATAAGGATTTACCTTAATCGTCACGCTTGGCTCGTATTTACTGACTAGAACCGGTGCGGCACTTATGTTATAATGATAAGGTCGAAAGTAGGCTTGGACAACATTTAACCGTGTTTCATAACATTATATAACTTTAAAATGGGATTTAGGCCACCGGTACTTAGACTTCTTCACATTAACCGTTCTTACACAATTTTGGTATTTTAAAAATATCTCTGACTTCCCACAGTCACCAAATATTTACATTATGGTCTTTTACCCGTATATGAAAATTGATAAGATCTTGTTAAACTTTTACGCTGGTTACAATGACAATAT